TAGTATATAAACTACTGATTTGCAGAAGTAAAATTGCCGCAGATTCAAACCACTTCTGAGTGTGTTGTCTGTCTGTCATTCGCCGAATCCTTGCCTTCCTGACTACCCAAGCCCTGGTTCTCCTATGGTTGTGGTACCCCCAATGGGCCAGTCCATGGCAGAGGTGAGCATAGGCTACATGGAGGGACCCTGTCTCAAAGCAAAAATGCAGGCATCACTAAAATGTCCTATAGATTTAGCAGAGTCCTAATCAAAATCCTAACAGGGTTTCTTGATTCTACTGACAACCCAATCCCAAATGCACATGAAGTGCAAAGGACCTACAATAATAGTTAAAGTGCTTTGTGAGAAGGAAATCAAATTGGAAGACTCTTTGTAGGTACTCAAGCACTACAGCTGGATGCAGTGGCTCCCATTTGTAATCACAGCACTTGGGAGGCAAAGGCAGGAGGAGCGTTTTAAGTGGAAGGCCAGACTGGTCTAAGTTCCTTCCCTCATAAAAACAGAACAAAATTAACTCCAAAGCTGTAGTAATTGAGACAGTGGGGATGTGAATGGAAAGACAGCCATATAGCTCAATGGAGCATACAGATCATGCATACAGGTAAGCATACTGGCCAGTTGACAAGTCTGAAATTGGAATGGCAAGATGGCTGAGCACTTGACATCAGGCTGAGTTCAAACCTTGGGCTCCCATGGTGGAAGGAGAGAGCTGACTCCCAAAACTTGTTCTCAGACTTCACTCTTGTGCTGTGATATGTGCATGCCCCCAGTCTCTCTCTCACATGCACAGTTAATTTTTTTAATTAAGAAAGAAATTAACGTGTATATTTATCATCAATTAATTTTTAACAAAGACGATGAGGTAGTTCAGTTGATAAAGATTAGCCTTCCACAAATCTTGCTGGGAAAATGAAAATTGAATATCCTTAAGTTGGAAAAATTCAATTAGACCCTTCAAGATATATATGAATATTGACCCTAAATGTGCCAAGGGCTTAACAGTAAAAATTGTGAAACATCTAGGAGAAAACACTGCAGAAAAATCTTTGCAATTTGGGATTGGGTATAGAATTCTTCAATAGCATTTGAAAAGCACATCATAGTACAAGCATAAATAAATAAAAAATTAAATAAATAAATCCAAGATTTAAACTTTTGCTTTTCAGTCGATCAGTTCAAGAAAGGATCTGGAGATGTAGCCTAGTTAACTAGTAGAGAGTCTTTTTTTTTTTTTTTTTTTTGGTTTTTCGAGACAGGGTTTCTCTGTGTAGCTTTGCGCCTTTCCTGGAACTCGCTTTGGAGACCAGGCTGGCCTCGAACTCACAGAGATCCGCCTGGCTCTGCCTCCCGAGTGCTGGGATTAAAGGCGTGCGCCACCACCGCCCGGCTGTAGAGAGTCTTTGTAGCATGAACAAGACCCTGAGTTTAATCCCTAGTGTACATAAACCAGGCATGGTGGTTCATGCCTATAAGCAAAACACTGGGAAGGTAGAAACAGGAAGATCTGAATTTCAAGATCATCCTCATCCTGAGCTACAGGAGACTGAAAAGAAAACAAATAAACAAGCAAGCAAACAAAAAATATATGAAGGCAAACTACAAACTATGAGAGATATTTATAAACTTCGTGCAACAATGAGAAATATTTATAAATCTATGTCATAAGGGATTTGTACCCAAAATATATAAAGATCTGGAGAGCTGCCTCAGTAATTAAGAGCAGTTACTGCTCTTGCAGAGGATCTAAGTTTGGTTCCCAGCATCCACAAGATGGCTCACAACTGCCTGTAAACCCAGCTACAGGGGATCAATACCTTCTTCCGGCCTGCACACACTGAATGCACATGGTACACATGTATGTACGAAGGCACACACTCATACACATCTTTTTTAAAAAAGATCTCTTACAACTTAACAGTTTGTAAGTCAAATAGCTCAATCTGAGAATAAGCCAATGCTTTTCACAGGAGTTTCACTGATGGTGATATTCAAATGACTAGAGAAGTGCGTGGCAACATACTTCTGACAAGTCTGAATGTTCAGAACATCTAGAGGTTGGCTCAATAGGTGGTGGGAGTTGGGTTAGGGTTGTCTTGCTATCCTAGAATCTGTGATGCCTCAGTCAAATCTCTGAGCAGCCAATGGGTGTAGGAACAGCATTAGTGGACTGCATTCACTGCTGGTAGCCATGGCGTTCTGTCTTTTTCAGAGCATATGGTCACCGTGTCATTGGAACCTCATTCACAGAGTGGATAAACTTGTTCTCAAGACCGCCCTTTCCTGGCCACCTGACTGCCTCTTTACATCCCTCTCCTAGCCTAACCATACCCCGAGTGGCAGTGGTCCAGCCCTTTGCCTGCCATTCCTGGTAAATTGAGTTGTACCCGGTTGGAACTGAATATTTCCATTCTTCTGATCTAGTTCTGTGAAATGAAAAGCTGTGTCCTGTCACCCTGTCATGACTTATAAATGAAAGAAAAGAGAGAGAAGTGAAAACGTTTTCCACGACATTTACGAGCAGTCCATAGCTGGGACTCGTAAAAGGCAGCGCACAGCCACAGGAGCCAAGAATGAGAGGGAAATGTGGTTTTCTGAGCTTTGCTGAACAGGAGGAATTTCTCTTGTGGAGCAACTTGCTTGGAACTAGAGAGAGGCGCAGCTGAGACATGTGATTCTCATTACCAGCTACAGCCTTTCAGACAGGACACAAATAATTGGACACATTTCTATTTTAATTGTTATTCTTCAGCTTTTAAAGAAATGACCAGTGGAAACCTGCAAGCCACTACAAAGCTCCATTTCAGAGTCCCTGGATTTTGGCCTGGCGTTGGTCTCCTTCAGCAGGGCCATGGTCACAAGCCACAATTTCTGCTTGTGGTTACAGTCCTAAAAATTTCACCCAAACAAAGATGAACCCATCAATCTTTCTGTGTGTCTCTGGCCTTTCCATTTCTCTCCTTGCCTGTTACATTTACCCTTTTAGGGAACTTAGAAACTTTTATATTTCCCCAACCTCTCCCCAAATAAGAAAACAGGGACAGGAGCCTCCTGATGAATGAGGGTAGAGAGTACAGAGCACACACAGTATTCCCTTTTTGTGACTGTTCAGTGTCCAGAATGGCTCTCCATCCTGTCTAGAGTTCCAGGCTCAGCATCAAATCAGGACACAGGGCCCAGTGAAGCCCAACAGCAAAGCTGAGACCCTACAGCTGAACTTCACTGGATTCCAGTCTCTTCCTTTCTTCCTGTCAGTGGCAACAAGGATCAGGCACAGTTCCTCATGTCAATCACAGCAGCCTAGGGCATCCCTTTGGTTTCTAGGAACTGTGACTCAGGTAAGACCATATCCTTGGCTTCAACGTAGCAAAGAATTTCAGAGTGAGCCAGTATGCATTAGAGATGGAGTTCATTAAAAGAAACAGAACTGGTGAAGGGACCCCAGACACTCATGAGCTCCTCCCTGTCTCTGGACTCCCTAAAGACAGCCTACACAGGGCAAGAGCTGAGCTAGCTTTTCTTCAGAAGCCAAGTGAATAAAGAGAAGGTGCCCAATCTGTGTGAGAGGCACAATCTCCAGTAGACAGTAGGAGTTGAGAGGAGAGAGGCACGTGCCCCAGCGTTTGGCTTGCATTGGCTCACCCCGCAATCACATGACGTCTTCACTCACTCCACTTCCACAGTTCCCCAAGAAGTCATCTTCGTGCATGTCTGGTTTCGCTTCTGTTGTTGTGAAAGACTGACCAAACGCAATGTAGAGGGGGAAGTGGGTGATTTGGGTTACAATTCCAGAAGACAGCCCAGCCTTTCGAGGAATTCGAGGCAGGAACTCAGGCAGCTCTTTCTATCCCATCCACAGGTGGGGACCAGAGAGAAGCAGCTGCTTCTGAGCAGTCTTCTGTCTCGCTCTGAGGCCGCTCTCTTCACTCTTACACAGTTCAGAGCCCAGCTCAGGGAAGGTGACCCCACATTTAGGGTGGGGTCTCCTACCTCAATTAAAAGTCAAGACAACCCCCACAGACCAAGCTATAAGGCAACCTCATCTAGGCTGTCCTTCATTCAAACTTTCTTCTGGGTGATTCAAGATGGTGGTAAGTTGATATTTAAAACTAGCCACCACAGTATGGAAATAGAACACTTTTTAGTTGGTTCCTTTATATAAATAAAAGTATGAAGCACGCGTGGACACACTCCTACACATCAAGACACAAACAGCAAAGCATTGCTAGGTAGTAAAACAGAATACTAAGATTTAAATTGACTTTTTTTTTTGCGTTTATTTGGTGCGTATGCGCGCGCGCGCGTGTGTGTGTGTGTGTGTGTGTGTGTGTGTGTGTGTGTGTGTGCGTGTGTTTATGTAGGTCAGAGGACAGCTTGTAGGAGTCAGTTCTCTCTTTCTACCATGTGGGTCCTGGGAATCAAACTCAGATCCTCAAGGCTTGGCAGCAAGTGCCTTTACCCACTGAGCCACTTTACCAGCCCCAAATACCGAGACTGTGTCACATTAATAACACAGCTATTAGATACTATAGAAAATGCAAGAGTGAGGAATCGCAAAGGGCTAGTGTCTGGAAATGATTTCCAAATGAGCCATGAAATCGAGAAGGTTCAGCCAACGGAGAAGCAGCAGCAAGTGTGGATGACTGTGGGTGAGCGTATGTCAGTTACGGCTGCAAATGGGCTGTCTTTGAGCAAGTCAAGCGTGGTGGCCACAAACCCTGCCTTACAAAAAGTCATTTCATGCTTAGGAATGGTTGCTGAGATCTGTGTGTGGTCCAGCCAACCAGCGTGTCTGCAGCTGCTTTGCCATTTCACATGGTCTTTCCTTCAGATAGTTCCTAATAAACCTGAACACGTGACATTTGACGTTCCCCAGTGTCGCGGGATATTCGTACACTGAGTGAAGATGTATCTGCTGTTATTGGTGTAATAAAAAGCTGAATGGCCAATAGCTAGGCAGCAGGTATAGGTGGGACTTCCGGGGAAAGAAGGGAAGAGGAGGAGAATCTAGGTGCGCAGGAGATGCCAGGAGATGCAGAACACGTTGGACTTACAGAAATGGAGAAGAGGTAAAAAAGCGACATGGTAGAGTGTAGATTAATATAAATGGATTCATTTAAATTGTAAGAGCTAGTTGGGGCAAGCCTAAGCTTTCATAATTAATAAGACGTCTCCATGTCATTATTTGAGAACTGGCTGGTGGAACAGAGAACAACTCATTACACTCAGTGTTTGGAAAGAGGAAATAAATTGAAGTGATGGAATTTTTTGTCCAGCATTTTCTCCTGGGTACGCGCTCTTGTACAGAGTGCGTGTGACTCACATTCATCAACACAGCCTTTTGTCAGCTGACCACAGGAAAGGAGAGGCTAGTCTTGTCCACTGTGTGATGGCGCCTCTGGCCCTGTGGGAATTCCTTGCAATAGCCCTCTAGCAACGAGAACCAGCCATGCATGGATGGATCAAAGGTTTGTCTTCACTCATTGATAGTTGATAATTTGCTGCCATGCAGGTCCCATGGAGCATGAATCTCTTCAGAAAGAGGAAAGAGACCCAGACCCTCCTCTCTCCAGTCAGATCCTGAATGTACAGCCTGGCTGGGCATGGTGCTAAAGTGTCTCAGTTCTCCTTACTCCTTTCTCATAGGACTTTACACTTTCCTTCTTCATAGTGGGTGTGATGGTTAGCTTTATTTATTTATTTGTTTGTTGGTTGGTTTTAGAAATGGTCTCTATGTAGTTCTGACTGTCCTGGAACTCTATGTAGACCAGGATGTCTTCTAACTCACAGAGATCCACCTGCCTCTGTCTCCCAAGTGCTGGGATGAAAGGTTTATCCTGACACACTTGACTTAATGTGATAGTTAATTTTAATCATCAAGGAAGAATTGTCTGGATTGCGTTGGCCTGTGGGCTTGCCTGTGAAGGACTGCCATAATTATGCTAATTGACATAGCAAGGCCCAGGCCACTGTGGGAGGCACCATTCCCTGGGTCCTGAATTACACAGGAGTAGAGGGAGCCAGCTGAGCAGTATGCACACATGCATTTTTTTTCTCTCTGCTCTTGATTGTGGATATGAAATGATCTGTTGTTTTAAGTTACTGACACCGTGACTAACCTGCCTTGATGACTGTGACCTGGAACTGTGACCTCAAATAAGTTCTTTCTTCCCTAGGTTGCTTTTGTCAAAGTATTTTTTTTAATCACAGTCATAGACATGAAGCCAAAACACAAAGGACTCTTTGTGTTCTACAGAGCTCAAGTCCTTTCTCTCCTCATTTTTCATATCCTACTGTTATTTGTTTCTCTGGCTTCTATCCCCCCAACCATATGCCTAAAACATCCAGATGAGCAGTTTGGGAAGAGGCTATGGTAGACGGAACCCTAAAGATGTTCACAACCTAACCTCTGGAACATGAGACTGTCAGTGAACTCCTCGTTCTTCTTGTTGTACTGGAAAATACAGGACAGAAGCCACTTGGGAAAGAGAATCTTTATTTTAGCTCACACTTTAAGGAACTACAGTCCATGGTGACAGGAAAGACTTTGGTACAGACAGGGAAGGCGTGGTGACAGACAGGGAAGTTGTGGTGACAGGGAAGGCGTGATGACAGGGAAGGCATGGTGACAGACAGGGAAGTTGTGGTGACAGGGAAGGCATGATGACAGGGAAGGCGTGGTGACAGGGAAGGCATGGTGACAGGGAAGGCGTGATGACAGGGAAGGCATGGTGACAGACAGGGAAGGCGTGGTAACAGACAGGGAAGGCATGGTGACAGGTGGCTCCATGACAATGCAAGAGTATAAAGTGACTGGTCACACTGGGATGTCAGTCAGGAAGCAAGGAAAGACTGGGGTGGGAGGCGGGGCCTAGCTGTGAACCTCAAGGCCTTCACCTAAATAACCTACTTCCTTCAGCCATGCTTCATGCCCTAAAGTTTCCACAGCCTTCCTGAAGGGGCTATTAGGAAGATAAGACTGCGTAGACAGAAGAAATGCTTACAAACATAATTAATAGTTTAGGTAGATGAGATGTTACATATTTTAAATAAGAACACAGGGCCGTAGAAGGCAGCAATTAAAAAAACAAAAACCAGGAGAACTCTCTGGTGAATTAAAAATATAGTAGGAGAAACTAGAGATTCAACAGTGCTTCAGGAAATAAGGTCAGAAAGGTCTTCAGGAAGTACAAAAGGAAGCTGGCAGGTTCACTGACAGAGGACAGGAGGAAGGGAGAGAATAGAAAGTTAGCAGTTTTGGGCTGGTGAGACAAAGGCGCTGGCCACTGACTGATGACCCGAGTTTCAGCCCTAGGACTCACTCAGTGGAGGAGAAAACCAGCTCCCACGAGTTGTCCTCTAACCTGGACACATGCGCTGTGGATGAACCCAACTGTGAACACACACACACACACACACACACACACACACACACACACACACACACAAATACATAAATGTAATTTTTAAAGGAAAATAAGAGGTTAGTTCAGGAAACCTGACAAAATAGTAAGAGCTTCAGAAAGAAAAAAAAAATGGAGAGGGGATAATCATAAATGAAGAAGCAGAAAGAAAGAAAGAAAGAAAGAAAGAAAGAAAGAAAGAAAGAAAGAAAGAAAGAAAGAAAGAAAGAAAGAAAGAAAGAGGGAGGGAGGGAGGGAGGGAAGGAAGGAAGGAAGGAAGGAAGGAAGGAAAGGAAGGAAGGAAGAAAGAAAGGAGGGAGGGAGGGAGGGAAGAAGGGAGGAAGGAAGGAAGGACAGCAGCAAACATTGGGAAAGCGGCTGGCCAACAGTGTCTGCATAAGTGAAATCTTAAAGGAGAGGCAAGAGATGGAGAAACTTGAACCCTAGACATTAGATACATAAAGAAAACAAAACCAAGGGAAACCATTCCATTAATGAAAATATCTTTAAAAAAACCTCTCTTCTTTAATTAAATTTTTTCATACAATATATTTTGACCATATTCTTTTTCCCTCCCCCAACTCTTCCCAGATACTCCATGACTCCCTAGCTACCCAACTTCATAATCCCCTTCTCTCTATAAAAAAATCAAAACAAACAAAAACCCCCAAAGAGATGAAAAAAGAAGAAAAGACAGTGGAAGCAAAACAAAAAGTACACACACACACACACACACACACACACACGCACGCACGCACACGCACACACGCATACGCACACGCACACACATACACACACACACACATACACATACACACACACACACACACACACACACACACACACACACACACACACACAATGTGGAGTCTGCTTTTGTTGGCCAACTAGTCCTGTGCACGGGGCTAGGCTTAGAGTGCAGTTGATATTCTCAGTGACACTCCATTGGGGAAAAACTGATACTTCCTTTCCTGGTAGGTCAATTACAAATAGCTTCTTGGTTAGGACTGTGACTTTGTGGCAACTTCCCCTTCTTGTGCTGGGATTTTGTTTGGTCTTGCACATGCTGTCACAGTCTCTGTGAGTTCATAGTGCATCAGTCCTGTTATGTCTGGAAGATACTGTTTCCTAGGAGTCATCCACCATCTCAGGCTCTTACAATCTTTCTGCCTCTTCTTCTATATAGGCCCCTGGGTCTTCAGGGGAGGGTTTGATGAAGATATAATGCTAATTGCTCCAAAGCTTCTCACTCTCTGCACATTGCTCAGGTGTGCATCTCTGTGTTAATTACCATCTACTAGAAGAAGACACTTCTCTGATGGGGGTTCACCTATGGGCATGGCAGTATGTCATTAGGAGTCATCTTATTGCTATGTTCCTTTAGCAGAATAGTAGTAGTTTTTCCCCTAGGTCCATGACCTGTTTAGTCTCAGGTTCTTGACCAAGTTAGCAGTGTTAGGCTAATTTCATGTTATGGAGTGGGTCTTAAATCTAAGCAGAAGAAGGTGGTTACTCCCACAACATTTGTACCACTGTTGCGCCAATATATCTTGCAGGCCAATCACTGTTGTAGGTTGAAGGGTTTGTAGCTTGGTGATACTGATTGATTACCTTTCTCTTCTGGTAGTGCGCAGAATACCTTCCAGCATCATGAAAGCTAGTCAGTATGAGTGAAGCTTCTAGCTGGGCACCAGCTTGTTTTTCCATGTTTTTTGATGACATAAGAAAGTGATATCTTCAGCACTAGGGCCCCACCATCAGGTTGTGGAGAGTAGCCAATAGCCTTGGAAATAGCTTGTACTGTTTTTTGGGGGGGTCTATGGGAATCTTTGGCCAAAGACTCAACAAGGTGTAACCCATTCCTGACTCTGAAAGTTATTTGGTGGCATAAGATATCTAGTTGGTACATTGCCCCCGCCTCCAATTATGTGGTGACTCCATTTAATTTTCTTTTTTATATATTTCTATTTTAGAATGCTTCTACAGTAGTAGGTTTTCATATGGGTTCCTTCCTCCCTCCCCCATCTCTTTCTTTCTTTCTTTCTTTCTTTCTTTCTTTCTTTCTTTCTTTCTTTCTTTCTTTCTTTCTTTCTTTCTTTCTTTCTTTCCTTTTTGTTTGTTTTTGAGACAGGAACTCACTATGTAGACCAGGCTGGCCTTGAGCTCACAGAGAGAGATCTGCCTACCTCTGCCAACCAACTGCTGGGATTAAAGGCGTACGCCACCATGCCTGGCTTCCATATGGGTTCCAAAAGGCCTTTAGTTGGTTGCTCTCCCCACATTCTTTCCTTTACTCTTCTCTCCCATCCACTTCCATATTTAGTCTTCATATTCTAGTTTCTCCCTAGTCTCTCCATAACACTATACTCTATTTCTCCTTGCTTGGAAGATTTCTTCCCCCACCCGACCTGATCCTTTACTAATTACTTAACCTCGGTGGTTATTCTGATTGGAGCATAGATACCTGAAGTTTAAAAAATAATATATAGAATATTTGTCTTTTGGTTCTGGGTTACCTCACTCAAGATGACTGTTTCTAGCTCTATCCATTTATATACAAATTTCAATTTTTTAACAGCTGAATAATATCCCATTGAGTAAATATACCACATTTTGTTATCCATTCATCAGTTGATGGGCATCTAGGCTGTTTCCAGTTTCTGGCT